ATTGTTTTTGACAGTGTTTTTCCAATGTTTCCAGTCAAACAGACGGTAATTTACACGTTTTTTGCCATAAAGGCAGTAAATCCTTCCAAAACATTGCTTTTGACAGTGTTTTTGTAATGTTTCCAGTCAAGCATACGGTAATTTACACGTTTTTTGCTATAACGTCAGTCCAAAACACTTGTTTTTGCAGTGTTTTCAATGCTCTGGCATCCAAAAACCCTGCAAAATCTTGCTATGTACAATGTTTTTTTCATTTTTGGCCGTTTTTCCATTGCCGGAAAGCTACCAAAATGACCCAAAATTCCATTTCAATACCCTCTTGCGCTCAGACACCCAAAAATCCTCGAAAAATGTCGAAAACACCACCGTATTCTGGTCTCGGTGCGAAACCGTTTTTGGGCCCCCCCCCCCAGCTAAAGCTGATATAGCGACTGCTATATTAACAAATGTCATTGAGCATTTAGTGTTGCTGTTTTGCCCCCCAATAAGCACGCCTTCACCGCCAAAGCGGTGTGGGCGGATTTTTACCCTCCCGATCTGTTGGATGTTGGTTCACCTGTCTTACTATGCAACTCTTCCAAACAAGATCCACCCTGGTGCGTTTTGTGTGTTCTCTGAGGCAAAAACCGCAACAAGCAGCAGAAATCGCGCACAGGCATTGAGGATGAAGCCTCTTCAATGCTGGGGAGCCAAGGGCAGCTCGGGCAGGATGCGCTTCCTGAGCTTGACGGCACTGCAGTTGTGGGGTGCATTTCTTTGCAGTGGGAATTTACAACATTGTCACATTCGGTGGCCAATATGTACAATAGAAGTGGAAGCTTTTTTTGTATATGACCATTTGCCAAAAATAGTTGACAGAAGTTTTGTACTAGTTGTTGATAATTAGTGTGGACCTAATTGTTATTTCAACATGAAGAAAATGTAACACTTAGCTCCTTAAACCTAAGGATGTCTTAGTGAATTTCTGTGCTGCTCAACAATTTTCCTATATTTTTGAGGTTGCGGCCCAACTTTGCGAATTTGTACGTAATTTTACCCGCTAGATCCCCGCTAGCAATGCGCTAGCAAAAGTTTCAAAACATGATTTTGGTTGACCCATGGCTCAGTCGCCACCAGAGAACTTGCAGTTTATCCTGTCTGTTTGACAAAAGCAACAGTGACAGCAAAGGCAACGACCAGTTCTGCAGATATTCCAGTTCCACCACTAACAGCTAGCAGCGGCACCCACTTCATATAGACGCGCGTTAGCATTTACTGCAGGTTTTAGCTACGGCTTCAAACATGAAAGATAAAATGCAGAGTTTCAGACTATTTAGGTCAGTCATGGTTTTGAAGGCACAACCACGCAAGGAATTACGATTTATCAACAAAACCAGGAAAAGACAGTTTGGCAAACCGTCATGTGTTTTTCCTTCAATCATTAATGGCGGAGTAGAAAAAGACAACTGCCAAACTGGTGACTTGTGTGAGCTGAGCTAGAAGCTCCAAGTAGAAGAAGTTTTCGAGAAATGCAACATTCCCCAATTCACGGGGTCGTTCGATATTTTGAATGTGATGGCCCCAACAGCGAATTTCTTCACAGTCTTTCCCTGAACCCTCACTTCGAAAGACATGACAAGGCGGTGGCGTGTTCTCAACAAAGAAGGCTTCCTGCAGGCACTGATCATATCTTGCTTTGGCCATAAGAGGGAAAACAATCTTGAACTTGCGGTCAAAGCGCCTGAGGAACGGTTGATGTGTCTCTTCCATTTCATTTCAAATTCTCAAATAATTACCCTGCTGGTTCTGGATGTTCTGGCTGTAGGCTCTCTTCTACTTAGAGTACGACAAGAAGCGACGTCGCAAAGGTGATCAGCCATGACCTTGGGAACTCTCGGGACCGAGGCAAAGAATCCTCAGACTGTGATCGATATGACAGCAAAATATCATGAAATAAGACAAAATAGATACAGGATGTTACAGTACAGTATGTTATATACAATATACAGCAGTATACAGCAGTATACAGTGAGTCCCACAGTGATCCCACCTGATCCTCTAACTGACTCTAACCTTTCTCATTTTCTGGCCCAGGTTGATCATCAATGCAGACGTGATGGTCGTCAGCGAGATGGGCCAGGCGCGACTGAGAATAGGTCGACCCCAAGCGCCCAAGAGGAATTCTGGAAATGGAGTGGCATAGATTGTTGACCATTTGGAATTTCGAACATGTATCTGGTGTTTCTTGTAACGTATTTAGATGATTTTGGATTTTAGATGTCCTCTGGTCCAGCTTGTACATGAATTGTGCTATCCCAGTTATCCCAGGCCAGCTTCCTCTGGGCTTTGGCAGGCAAATAGTGGCGAGAAGGTGGCCTCCTACAAAGGTACCATGCAAGTGGGCACCTGGGGGTTCGGAGCCACAGGCCCGATGTGCAGAGAAATGCGGCAGTTGTAACTGGATGCTCCAGCACCTAGAGGACCTAGCCTTTAGGAGGGTTCCATATTAATCAATATAATCAATATCAACTTAACGACGTTAACTTAACGAATATTAATGAGCTCATGCCTGGGAGATCCACCTTTCTTGTGAGATTGTTTTGATATGTTGCTTTCACCGCTAAGGCCAGTCGTACTCTATGACTCTGAGAACAAAGAACCTGGAGGCGGGTCAAGTTCTATGCAAAGTTGCCCATGTAATGGTAGTGGTGGTGATTTGAACGGATAACACACGAAACAAGTGCACCAAAAAGAGTGATTCTGCCATGAAAGAATCCACAGAATTCCAAAGAGCTCTGCCTTTTCAAAATCTGCTTGTGCCAGGAGATGATGAAGAAACTACTTTCACCCTAGAAACACGGCCAATCTCGGTCACTTGGCTGGAATTCTGATGCCGTGGAGTCGTGGAGGCGCTTACCCCATGGCTTGTAGCATGGGGGTCTCAAAGCCGGTGCCGATGGGTTCCTGTATCGGTGTGCCTGCGTAGCTATGCATGCAAGAACAAAGGGACATTGACCATTTCAACGAAAGGTTCACTGTTAAACTGTGCATAAATATACAGTACATAACCATTCATCACAAGGACAAGGCATTCAATATGAAACAGAACTACCGAACCACTGACTCCCCTTGACCCATTGAAACCATTTTTAAAACCATTTCTCGCGCCTAGAGGGTGTGTTTACCTATCCTATGGTTGAGATCTGTTGAGATTCCAAGGCCCGACCGTTCAAGCTTGAAAATGCAAAGCCCTGGGATGACAAAGACTCCCTGGCCATGGCCCGGAGCTTGCAGCGCGGGTCACATTCCCTGCTTTGACCATGTCTACGAAGATCAGTCGGGATTCATTGGGACAATTTGGGACACTTGAGCATCTTGAGATATCTTGAGCATGCCAAGACTTTTCCAAGAAATATCTGCAGACATGCTTCCGCATCTTCCGCTCCACAAGCTGCCCAGATCATGCGAGCTGCGCGGTATGGGCGCCGGAATAGTGTCACGGGTGCTGGAACGAGTCGTCGCAGGGCCTCCCAGAGATGTGGAGATGTGGAGATCACACTGACTTCAATCCAAATCTGTCATTTGCCTTGCCTTTTCTAAGCTTTTCTTCCAAGGTTTCCAGCAGAGTCCAGCCCAAAAGGGGACCCAGAAGCACAAGATGAAGGAAGATGAGGACAGCTTGCGCAGCTTGGGCAGCTTGTGCAGAAGCAGGTCCGGTGAACTTGAATGCAGACATTCGGGTATCAATCCAAATCGAACTGTTTTTGGCATGTGATTTTGGCCCCATACCGCATTTTCGACATGTTGTCTGCTTGAGGACCGTGGAACTTCCAAAAAGAGCCGGAAGAGCACATGGCCCGGGCAGCACAGTGGAGAGGACCAAGGATGTGCAAAGCTGGACTCGGGACTTGGAGGGTCCGAACAAAGGCATCAACCCAGCGATGCAAAGCGATGCAAAGCGCTGTTTTCTCCTTATGGATAAACATCCCGAGTTATTTCGCAGCGTAGCATTGATCCGATTTTAGAAGGATTTCTCCAAAAGCGCAATTTTTGCAGCTATCACTTGGGAGTTGCAGGCAAGATCTGCTAAAATGACGAATCACCTCACTGAACATCTCATGTGGGCATACATGGCTAGCCAACAAGCCAACAAGCTCTGGATGGCAGATGCAGTTTTTTTTCTTGAGGAGGAGCTGCAGTTTCGCACGACTTTTTCAATATCACCATCAAACAGGTTGTAAATAGGCCCAGCCAACAATTCACTGTCGATGACATGTGCACTTGCACTCGATTCAAGTGTTTGAGGTCTGTTGGCTCTTTATTGAGGCAGGGGGAAGCTTGCTATGGAGTGTTCTGCTTTGGTCTGTCGCCGCTGTAGTGCCTGCATTTTGCCTTTCCTGTCTCCTGACAGTCAGTGATGTAATGTACATTTTGTCACACACAGGAACTTGATTTGGGTTTGGACTACATGTTTCCCATGTGACGGCCGCAGAGTTCAACTGTGGACAGGAAGCATGAGAATGATGAAGGGCCCCAGACTTGGATTCTGTTTCAGTGTAAAATCATAAATCATCCAAATGATCCAAATCCAGAAATTTGCACAAGAAACAGACTTTACACACGCCCTTTACACACGCCATCCACTCAGAACAAGAAACGGGTACGAAACGGGTACCACATGGTGGAGCACCTCGTAGGATTCATTGAAACGAGTTCCGGAGCCGAAAAGAAACCAGGTCTGAGGAGGATGGTGATGAGACGTACGGATCTTGGAAATCTCGGTTTTCTTCGAAGAGAGTGGTGCCATGTGGGCTGTTGGTGCGGGCCGGTGCCTGATCCTGTTGCCATTTCGCAGCCTGTCTCACCACCAGAGCAAGGCCGGCAGAGACAAATAAGATCGAACCCAATCATCACATGATGGTCCCGCAGAAACAACATATCCACCCACTAGAATTTCATGCAGCACAGGCTCTACATGCCACTGTAAGACACTTCCAGTCACGACATGCAGCTATACTCTACTATACATCACTCATACCCGCCATGCGGTGCTTGATATCTGTCGCGCTGCTAATTCAATGCAGCACCGCTGCTGATCGGGCGACTTGGTTTGGAATACAGATTGAATTGAATCTTTGTTTGGGTCTTCTTTATTGAGTGCTACTAATGTTACTGCAGCTTCCCGAATGACATAGGATAGCTGCCACGCTTTAGTTTGCCCGTATTTTATATAATTGTCATACTGAAAAAAAAAATCAGGCACAATGCCATCATGAAAACTTTGGTGAGGCTCAGAGGCTCATGGGCCTTTTGACTTCAGCCCAAACTACTTGGCCTTTGGCCAAGAGGCACCCATGTTGCAGACTTGCGACCAAGGTGATGATGTACAAAGCACGAGGGACTGAGTGCGGCCAAGCATTTCTGCAGAAGTCTTGGGTGATTTATGCGAAGCGCTTCGCAGGCAATGGGTCAAGGATGTTGAGGGACATGGGAATCGGCCTTCGGGAAATGGTTATGACAGTTATGATGCTTGAGGCCTGAATCTTTCATTTGCTGTATGTGTTTTCTGTCTTTGCATACATGGGTCAGAATGAAAGCGATGGAGTTCGGAAGATGGTTTCGCCAAAAAGGAAACATTTTCGCCGAAGAGGAAACAGTAACCACTCGAAGTTTTCAAGTCTTGATGTTTTCATGCCACTGTTAAAACTAAAACTCCAGCGTAGTCACTTCTTGTGGTCAATGCGAACGAACAAAGCTTGCCAGTCACAACTGGCATGAAGAACAGGGAAAAGAGCGCTTGAAGCTTCGCCAAGGATCCCCCGAATCAAATCATTCCGTTTGTCCTGGAATCCATCCAGAAGGTCGCATCCCACCACTGGAAAGTAATGCTGAGAGGCCTTGATGTGGGCGATTGCCCTGGCAAAGGCTACACCGTGGCAACCAAAAGCATGCACATGAAGGTGCCGTGTGGGCAAACTGAAAACCAGCACCCCATGTTTTCTTCGTTTGTGGCCCAAAGCTGCAAGAAGTTTGGAACCAGTAAAATCATCCGGGGCGATGAACCAATGAACTTTGGAACATCTTTAAGGATCTTTAAGGTATACTGAGACAAAAGAAGCTGATGATTGTGGAAGCTTATAGTATATTTCAGGCAGCGCCATCATGAACTGATGAATGTGCCTCCCTTTGCTATACACGTGCTAGAATTTGAACCTGTCAAGTTGTTATACGTCACAGATATTGAGCTGAGTTGGTGTGGATGGGACATGGGGAGCTGGCAGATTTTGGCCAAGACATGGGCGCAGCACGTAGGTTCCAGTCTTAGGGACAGAGGTCCCAGTGCAGATGTACCGGCGCCGGCAGGTCGAATTCTGGGGGGTGGATTCAGTGGGATGTGGATTTTGAAGGCTGTGATTGCTCTTTATTACTCTTTATGTTTCTTTTTGGATTGGCTCGCTATTGTCAAATTTCTGAGAACCGATAGGATAAAACTTCGAAAAAATGCCTTCACTGCCGTTGAGTTTTCTGTCCTTTTCGCGGGTCAGCCACACCCCACACCCCGTGGCATTGCCAAGCACGTCCAAACACTGTGCTACCGTATTCAATTGCCACGACTTGTCAGATTCAGCATGATGGCCTGCATCTGCGACACACGCGCATTGCATCGCCAGAGCATTTTGTGACTCGGGTTTTTTAACCCTTGAAATGAGCAGAGAAAGGAGCACCCGTGGGTGACCATTAGAGTGCAGGGAAGGAACCCTTGCAACGCACTATTTCTGAAATGGGATATGGGTGACAAGTACAGGCATGAGGTCTTTTTGGACCTAGCGTTGGAAGCCGCCTATCACTCAAGCGTTGACCTACGCCGTGACCATTCTCTCAAAGGACAACTGCTTTCCACAATGTTGTTCATGTATACAATTGCAATCCTCGGGATTGAAACATAGCTGTAGGCAGGAACGACTGCAACTCTTTGTAGCTGCTTCCGCTGCAGTATTGGATGTTCTCTAAGGCGCCTTCAGATCACTCACTGGCACGTGCCGCCTTCAAAAGGCAGGGAAGTGATGATATCCGTGGGAATAGAACGGACTAGATTTGGTAATAGTTGGCAAGGTGTGGTGGTCATCAACCCATCCATGAGATAAGCTAGTCCCTGTATGCATTTTCATACATCTCTGCCACACAGTTCCGGGGTTCCTCCGAGGCACCACCACCATGCTTGGTGGCATCACAGCCAAAGACATGCCGGACCTGGCTTCTGCGGTTTGCTACACCGGCCTTGGCTGAGACTGCCACACATCCTGGGACTTGGTGCTTGAGGCTGTCAATATTGATGTTGTGGGGCTTGGCGTGATGTGATATGGACAGATCCAAGTAGGTATGAGCATGAACCCAACCTTGTCAGAAGTGCATGGTAAACATCAGTGGACATTAGATCCACTGGTGGATCCATATCTGAACGCGCCCAAAGTTGATGCTTCCGAGCATGTCGATCCCGAACGGGATTGCACTTTGCCCTCACCTAACATATCCTAAAATCATTTGGGCTGTTGCTCCCAAGTCGATGAGGCCCAAACTGCTTATTTAAGCATCAAGTATGCAGTGACTAGCTATACACAGTATGTGTATATATATATATTATACACATGAATGATGTTTCCCTCAATCTTTGAGAGTTTGCGGCCGGGTGTTGGAAGTGATGGTCCCTGGAAAGCACAGAGGGACGTCCAGATTCACAAGTCGAAGCGTATGATTTCAGAAGCGCCACTTGGCATGGGACAATGGATGAATTTAAACCATTTTTGTTTAAGTGTTTGAGGTAGTACTGACAGATTTTCTCGTGGAACGCTTTGGCAAACACCTTTCCTAGAACAGTTTAGTCGAATCCATCATGCCTGGTTTTGGAGGCATCACAAATCGTCCAAATGTGGTGGCAGTGAAAGCAAAGATATGATTCAACAGATGGTCCTCAATGTTGATGTCAACCGTGCCAAAGAGAAGCAGCTTCTTCCATAAGTTGCAGGATTTCCAAAACCAGGTAAGATTTCCAGGGACAGAGCTGGACTTCCAGCAGCTCTGGACCAATCTTCCGGCATGTTCGATGCCGCAGTCTGGGGCAGCCTTTTCCACATGTGCCCTGGATGCTTGGGCTGGCATGTTTGCTGGCGCGCTTGAGCTGTGTAGCCGCGCTTCGCCAAAGCACTGTGCAAGGGCAAACGAAAAATGACTAACCTTGCCGCCAACTCATCACCCGAACTGATGATATTCTGAATGATATTCTGACTTCTTCAAGAATACAGCTCACAACAGTGAGACTAGCATCACTTAAGAAAACTCGCACACTAGCATCTCATCAGAGTTCTACCTTAAATCTAGACGGTGTTTTCTTTTTTTCATCTGGTTCCAAAGTGCCATAGCAATGATTTGTCATGGCCGCTTTTTTGCTGACACTCATGCACGCACACACAAGAGTTGTACTTGAAAAAGGAGTCTAGATCGAATTCGCACCCAAGTTATATAAGCGTCTCAACACGTCTCAACGAAGGTCAAAGGGCAAAGCTCACGCTGGTCTTGCATCAGTCGCGGCCTGAGGGCTTTCTGGGTCAGTCGCACTTTGATCATCTTTGATCCACATGGACAACATGTGTTCTTTAGATCCACAATGACATGTTCAAAGATGTCCTGCTCATTTGTGCTGCTCAAATCTACATGTAGTCCTGATTCAGTCCAGATGCAGTGGATGTGGTCCTAAGCCTGAGGCATCTCCTGGAGATTCTGCTTGGACCATTGACATCAGACCCTTGACGTGTGGACGCATAGCTACTTCGTGTGTTCACAAATGGATGGCGTGACAATGCTGTCATACATCATGATAGGATGATGCATGTCCCGTGACTGAAACCGTCATTTATGCCTCACCACAGTATTGAAATGTATTGAATATTGAGATGTATTGTGAGCATGTTTGAGCATGATACAAGAGAGTTTGCAGACACAGCAAGCCAAGAAGAGGGCACCGTCCCTGAGGCGTCTGGACAGGCTGGAACCTCCAAGCTTGCTATGACTGATGTTATACCACTCCTTTAGGGGAGTACAGTACCCCCTGTTTGGTATGCTTTCAGGAGAAGAAAGGCTGAACTACTTTATAATAAACATGAATAAATACTTGTGGGGGCTGCAATTGTTTGCGCTGCGCGTGTCACAAGCTTGTTTGCACAGAACGCATCTTTTATGAAAGTAGCGCAACAACTGCCGACTTGCCAGGAACTACAGCCTCAGTGGTACAAACCTTGGCGAGGCGTGAAGATGATTGGAATGTTACAAATGTTGCAGATGACAGTCATGGGATAGACTCGTCCTGGCATGTCATCCTGGATGTCCGATGCAGGGCGTTGACGAAGTGGATGTGGGCATCCAAAGCACGGTCAGTCGCAACTCAACACAGCCTGGGAACCCAGGGTTGCAACGGAATGAATTGCATGGAATCGGGTGAATCTAGCAGCGTATCTGAACCCTCAAGGCTCCTCAAGGTTTCAAGTTCGGAGGGGCATAATGCCAGAAGTCTTTGCTGAAGCTCCTTCAGGATATGATTAGCTTGGGTTTGGCAATGTCCGCAATCTTTTTCTTAAAGGGACCTTGGAACATTAGAGGAACAGAAACAAGTACAAACGCATGTACAGGAAACTCTTTCTTGAAGTGACAGGGGAACATTGGACATGTATTGGGATCCAAGTTCAACATGCAATAGAGACAGGCACCTCACCTATGCCTTGGCATCAGATCTCTTGTTGTTCTGAAGGTTTCGTTCCTTCTTGGACAAGTTTTTCGAGAATTCGGAGTCCGAAACTCTGCAAGAGGCATGGCCAGCCACGAGAAGAGCCAGAATCGGCACGAAGAAGTGGTTTGGTTTGCGACCTTTTGTTTCTGCAGTCTCTCCTTTCCAGGAACAGTGGTTGCCGACCTTCTAACACGGAAAATAATGTTCAATACCAAGTTGGTCAAGTGGGCGCAGTCTCCAAAAAAGCAACATGTTCTTTTGCCCCATTGAATTTGAGCAAGCAGCACCAGCACCGGCGGCAGCCTGCAAAGCGGCAACAACGGCATTGGCTTCTGCAACGGGTTCACACCAGCTCATCCTTTTCAGTGACTTTGGTTGCAAGTGGCTGGTGCTGTGAGTGAACGGACCAAGATGTGGTCCCCTCCAACCGTAGTTTTCAGGCCACTTTTTCAGTATGGTAGTGAATCCCCACGATCTGCGTGACGCTGCTACCAAGATGGTGCCGTTGGAAGAATGCAATCGTGAGTGGAAGCCAACGGACCCGCGCTTTAGTGAAGACTTGGCACTAGCTCTGGAATGGGACAAACCAAGATGCTCAGCTGTGATTTTGTGAAACTACAAAGGTCATGAAACCCGACAGATAACCTGAGCAGATGATATCATGGGAAATGTGTGGTGGGCTTTGCCTCAGAAGTGTGTATGGGGCAAATAGCAGTGTCTCACTTCTCGGGATATTGTGACATGACATCACATGACATCAACCGCTTTATTAATCTATGAAACCATGGTCCCTGAGCCCTGAGCTGCTCCCTCCCTGGAGAGGACTGGCAGATTATGTGGCACGCAGGGAAGGTGCATGGAAAGGTGCGCAAAATGACCTTGTGACCACAGATGCAGCCTCGCCAACTGTTGTGGAGGCATTCGTTGCTTCGACGTGATCCAGCATACTCAGCATACTCTTTAGACCTATAGCCTATAACACTTTTTGAATTATGCTTATATCATGCAGACTACATATATCATATATCTAAACATGTTTCATGAGCATCAGGTGATGGCTAAGTATGCGGTCCAAGAACCATTGCTGCTCGACCCATCCTGATCAACCTGGGTCCCGAGTCCCGACCAAACTCTCCGGGTGCAGGACAACCAAGCGCATAAGAGCGATGGTTACGACGTGGCCTGGTTGCAGTCTCTCTTTTTCTCCTAGGTGAAACACTCAAGACTTGTCAAAGAGGTCGTAGACCCACCTTAGTTTTGATGCTTTTTGATTGCAATGGTTGAGAGTAAGGTTGCTACTAATGTCATATCTTAGAGTCTTAGAGGTGATCAGTGTTTGTTATTTGGTGGATCAGTGGACCAGTGGAATGTCACAGGTGAGCTTGGGCTCTTTGGACCCTTCCAATCTCAGCACTTTGGTGTGCTGAAGTCACTGAAGGTTGTGCCGCTAATGGAAGCCGAGTTCCGAAGGGACTGTGTCGGAAACCTGGGCTGCGTCATGCACCTTGGGGGCTACGTCGAGAGGGGTCCATCTCAACGAAACGAAGGACTTTGGCCAAGTTTTGGGATCGAAGGGTTGCAGAGTCTGCTTCCTCTGTCAGACACAGAGTCTGCCTGGCGTCACCTGCACCCCTAGAGTCCTTGTGTCAAATTCAATAAGGAAGTCCGCGATTGCTGCGTCAGTCCTTTGGTCAATGCCAGATTGTCAAAGAATTATCACAAATTATATATTCGTTTCCTACTGGATGGTTTGAGTTTCCACCCTCATGTTGGCAGACGAATGAGGTGGTTTTCTATAACACCCTCTTCCCGAACGTGGATGGCTCCAACTTCCAGATGTTGCTACCCCAGTGGGCAGACATGGCTCAAAATGTGTGGCAGGGTTGCATCAGGCATCCTGAGCGCCTGAGGTTGAGAGACCAATCCTTGTCCGAGGATGGGCCTTTGCGTTTCAGAAAGGCGGACGGGTGGGGATCGGGATGGGATGTCAAAAGCATGAGATTGGAAGCTCAGGTATTCCGTTTTGGATGTTTTGGTGCCTTCATTTTGACTGGAAAGAGATAGCGGCAGCTCTAGGAGCTTCGTTTGATTTCTTGTGTTCTTGCCTGGTCTGGAGGCTGGTGCGCACTTCGATCTTGGCAGGAGGATGGAGGGCAGGCCTGCGCATGGAAGGGAGAAAGAAGGAGAGCCTTCACTGAAGCCTTCAGTACTGGATTCTCCGGCGCAGAACCAGGGCAAAAGCAAGAGACATGTTTGAAAGCATTCTGGTCATTATGAATGTCTACAATTGCAATGGTTCGTGACTGGCCAAAATGCAAATACATGTGCACTGCGCACTGCATGATTCTTCACTTGTAATATATCACATAATATCAAACAATATCAAATAATATCAAATACTTGTGTATAGCTAGTCAATGTTAGTCATATATAACCATTGACAAGAAAATATAGGCCAAATAGGCAATGGCTCTGTTGCCTTGCTAGCGTTTCAGTAATGGTTGCCGGCCTGGCCAGGAAGAGTGACTTCCAACCCGTTGACACAGGCGATTTACTTGTGAATTTAGATTGCCGATTGCTGGTTTGATGATTTTGAT